TTCACGATGGAATACCAAGACACACAAGCAATCAACTCATCAAAGCACACATATACAAGCCAAAACACGTCTGGTGTCGATCGACACTATAATAACCCTGCCTAGAGATCGAACAGTTACAGAAATGATCGAGCCAAGACCTAGTTGATGGAAGAAAAATTATCAAGCATGACGGGATTTTAAGCACGAGGTGGCCCGAAGCACGACGTGGCGAGAAGTACGAGGTGGCATGGTGCTTTCAAACTTGATATTTTCATAAAATATAAAAGTTTTTGAAAGCACGACATAGCCGCTCGGGATTGACGTGCTTGTGATCAACAAGCACGACGAATCCGAAAGCACGACAAGTCAGAAACACGACAAATCTTGTAAGCACGTGGTGTCGCGATCTTGTGTGACGAGTTATCGAAAGCACGACAAATCCACAAGCACGACAAGTCAGAAGCACGACAAATCCCATAAGCACGAGGTGTCGCAATCTTGTGTGACGAGTCATCGGAAGCACGACAAATCCACAAGCACGAGGTGTCGCGACTGTGTGCAACGACTCATCGTTAAGCACGACACATACATGCTGACCGTCCTCATGTGCCTACCTGCTTCCTTAACCCTATAAATAAGACCTAAGTAGCTCTCATTTTCTTCATAGTTTTCGTTCCAAACCTCTGACAAAATCAGTATAGAAAACCYGAACTTTTGCCCGCGTTCGTGATCTAGCCCAAGCCAGCGTCGTGGACCATTGAGTAGGATCGATAATAGTCAAACATATAGCCTAAGCTCTGTCCATTTTTTATGAAGGAAGTTCTGATCTAGATCCTTGGTTCCAACCCGAGTTATCAGTCGATCAGTTTGATTAGTGTTTATCATTGGATGCTAGGTTTGAGTTTGAATGGTGGTTGCATGAAGTAGGTTATGCTCTTAGCGTGTAATTGTATTAGTTGTTTGATAATTGTTTGAGGTTCTTCCGATTATTCTGATAATTTTTCTAAGTAGTTTACTACATGTTTTAGTCGTTATGCATATTGTGTTAAGTGAAAGTTATGGCGTGAGTGGTTGATACCCCACGCCCATGTGCATGTAGTGGGCGTATTTGATGCTTCCATGATTCCTTACTGTAAGGTAAGAAGACTTGGTTGGTGGGTTGATCACCTACGGTCAAGTGCTGCACGACGGTGTGGCCCGAGATAGCCACGTTGAGGTGGAGCTCGGAAAGTGATGTTTTATGCTCATGTGTCTTTGTGACCTTGACATAGGTGTTCACTCGAACWGGAAGGAAGTATCTAATACGCAARGGCCCTAGGTTATGTTAGATGTTTTGCTGCGTTGCATTCATCCTTGATGTTGTAGTTTTCAAATATGTATACTTGATTATTGCTTGTCGATTGTTATTTTGGGTTTTGGGTGGGTATGTTATCTAATGCTTGTTAGGGTGCCAAACTCACTGAGTAATATTAGATTACTCATCTAAAATCTGGTTTTATGTATAAGGTATGTAATATTTCTTTGGCAATAGGCCTTGTCTGGACTTCTACGTTTTGTAATGTTTCTACGTTTAAAATTTATGAATGTAAGAAATGTTTTGTTGAAGTTGGCGAGTGTTTGATGATATAAGTCTTGTCCGGACTAACACAACTCGAGAGAGTGGAACGGGTTGAAAAACCTTAGGCCATGCTCAAGAGGAAAATGATTCCATGGATGGTTTGACGTAGGCTCTAGATTGGTTCTAGAACTTGGTTTGAACCGTCTATGGATATCATATTGTGATACTTCTGGGCTGGTTTAGTCCTTGATTGGTTTAGAGGTGTTACAGACACCTTCCTGGTTTCGATCGACATAGCAGAATCGTCTAGAATCAAACATTCTCCTCTCTGGTTCGATTCTAGCCTCCACCGTATCGATTTCCTGCAAAACAACATCAACAAACACACCAAAAACAGCACGTATACGTGAAAGAACAATCCTCCAAACCAAGCAATCATTCATTCCACACAAACAAACATCGTATCTTGACAATCCATCCACCCAGATAAGCCATGGTCATGCAGTCACCTTGGTCTCAGAAATTGACAAAGACAAACACGAAATCAGACCCTTCCCAGCCTAAGAAACCTCTGATTCCTCTCCTCTTTCTCTCGAACTCGCCAACACACGATCCCCATCTCACTCCTACGGCCTTAATATCCCCTCTAAACTCTCTCAAACACCAACACAATCTCTCTCAACTTTGATTCCCGTCCAAAAAAAGGCTGCTCGCGTTTAAATAGCCGAGCCCTAGGGTTTCCCAACCCAAAATCGTGAATCGAACGATTTAACATCGAACCGACAATCGCA